TCTATGCAAATAATTAATTAAGCAAGCTTAAGAAGAATTGTTAGTATAATTATTAAAATTTGGATTAATGAAGGCATTTCCCTATGTTGATTATTTTCTATCTCAGTTGATTGCTTTTTAGGTTTTATATATATTGTGTGGAGCCTTGGGCTATTTGTTGTGAAATTAATTGATTTTGTTATATCCTTGGAATTGGTTGTGGCCATTGGGCAAATTGTGATATGAATTGATTTTGTTACGTTGCCGTGATAATATTCCGTGTAAATGGTTGTGTTAATTGAGTTATTATTTTGAGGATATAAGGGTGGCATTTCAATGTTGATATTACGTGGGCATAAGGGAGGCATTTCACTGCTGTTATGTGTGTTAGGATATTGTCTGGGCGGAGCGATAAGGGTGGCTATAGGAGAGATAAGGGTGGTTATATGAGCGATAAAGGTGGCTATTGATATTGCCAGGGCGGAGGGATAAGGGAGGCTATTATAGGAGTGATAAGGGTGGCTATGGAAGAGATAAGGGTGGCTATTGTCGTGGATGATATGTGATGATGTAGAGTTATTGTGTTAGTAATTTTCATGTGATGTTGGGGTATTCCTTGTGTTTATTTTTATATCTTGTGCAACTTGTCTTGTTGTTTTGGTAAACTTGATAATAGCCTGATTTATGTTGAAATTGTGAGCTTGTGGCTATTGCCGGGCAGGTAATGTTATATGGGATCGGGTTTCACGCCGCAACGGATATGAAACGTGGGCACAAGGTGTCGGAAAAATATGATAGTTTTATTATTGGCATGTGAACTGTCCGTGCAGCTGTGATATGAAAAGTGGGCATGAGATCCCGAAAAAATATGATGATTTAATTATGGGCACGAAGTGCCGTGGAAATATGAAAGTGGGTTGAGACTCGTGTTTACGAAAAATATGAAAATGGGGTGTCACATCGTGACTTTTAATTGAAAGAATTATATTCAAAATATTTATTTGGAGGGATTGTTATTCAAAAAAATATTATTTGAAAGATATTTATTTGAGGAAATTATATTTGAAAGAGATTTATTGATAGAATTATATGTGATAGATATTTATTTAAAGGACTTGATTTAATAGGGTGTACTTGTATTTATTATTTGCTGAGCGATATTAATGGTGTTCTTATTTTTCTGTTGTGCATATCACTGGTTGATTTGTGTTGCCCTTATTGTTATTTGTTTCTTATTATTTTGTATACTATATTGCATAGGTTATTAGACTAGTGAGTATCTTGATTGTACCTCGTTACTACTCCACTGAGGTTAGTCTTGATACTTACTAGGTACCGACCGTGGTGTACTCATACTACACTTCTGAATATTTTTGTGCAGAGCCAGGTATTGGGGATATCGGACTCGGACGAAGTTAGAAGGTGATCTCAAGGACTTAAGGTAGAGCTGATTGGTCGTCGCAGTCCCTTGGAGTCCTTGTATTTCTATTGTACTGTTAATTTCTTATTCGAACAGTATTGTATATTCAGTCATTGTGTTCATTCTATGTATTCAGTTAGAGTTCGTGACTCAGTATTACCAGTCTTAGGAGATTTCATATATATTTGTTTTCGCTGTTGGTTTTGATTACCTATTTAATTCATATTCAAAAAAATGGCTTGAAATATAATTGTAATCGGCTTACCTAGTCTTAGAGACTAAGTGTCATCACGACGCCTGTGGTGGAATTTTGGGTCGTGACACATATGCTATCTGTAATGGAAACCATTATATTATAGAACTTCATCTATAACATTCTTCTAGCCATCATACCTTATATCTGAATACTTACCTCAAACATTCTAGGGCTACATTGAAACATAAAAGTAGCACTTACGCATTTCATAAGAGACCGTCTGTAAGGCTCACTCGTAAACATGAATAACCAGTGGCTCGTACACCGTCTGTACGGCTCATAATACTAAGGTCTGGCTATGCGTTCAACTGATATTGTCCATAACCAACCTTCATTATGGACCTATGCATTCATAGACCGTCTATAGGGCTTCACTGTATACCTATGCGTTCATAGACCGTCCGTAGCGATCATGTCTTATGCATATTCATTTCATATCACTCATGCAGACATCATTCAATCATCAATAGATACACTCATATTCATAAATATATAAGTTCATAAGTAACGGCATTGTAGTAACCAATCCTTATTCCTTAGCCATTTGTTGCGTCATCCTTCGTATTTTATATTATTTAGTCATAAAGAACGTTGTAACTAATTTGAAATAGCACATCTATCCTTATTTCACATCATGACTCATTGCTGGGGATCACATGATTCTTTATATTTATAGCTATGTAATATTCTTAGCTTATGAGGTTACTCGTAATACACACACACACACACACACACACATACATATATATATATATATATATATATATATATATATATATATATATCCATTCATCAATACATAATAAGAGTTGCGGGATTTATGCTCTATCAACTTATATTCTTATTGCTAAGCTTATCATATTATGTAGTGTACGACTCCTTATGTAACGTATATCGTCTCTTAACATCACCCTCATATATAATCAACCTTACTTAACTTGACAGCAACGTAACTACCTTCATGGGTCTTTACTAGTTTTGTGAACACAAACGTGTAAGTATTGGAAGTCATAGAATTCTTTAGGTCGAGTCATTTTTATCTTTCTACAAACTATACATTATGCTACCTTATTGAACTATTCGTGCATAGCTATCCCTCATTATACGGATACTATATTGCTCCTAATTCATTAGACCATTCGTGTGTAATCTTTAATTGACATCTGGACGTCTTGTTACATATAGAAGGCAAGGATCTTTTGGAAGGCTCTATTTACTCATTAAGAATACATGAAACTATGTCCAGCACAATCCAATTCAACATTTATATGACTATGCTCGTGAACGGACCTTAATCGTCGGAATAGTACGTATATAAAGACTCGCCCCCTAGAATCCCTTATAAGGGCAGCGTAACTTACAAAATCATGCCAAAGAAAATAAATGAAGACCTTACATACTCATAATATCCAGTCCAATCCTCAAGCTAACTTAACCTGCAACTCCTTTGTCTACAAGTAATGAACAATATTGTCGTCACAAACGAATGCCATAACTTATCATAATTGAATGACACACTTTATTATACAATTAAATGGACAGCATCTACCCTATTTATATGTCTTCCCACAAGTTACAACAGCCAACAATAACCCAAACAACATCAACAAATACTCATAATAAGCCTTTCAAAACAGTTTAACAATTCCGACGAGCGACAAGCTCGGTTTGTGACTAAACAACTATAGTTTTAAACCCCTTCCTCCTTCCAGAATTTATCAACAACATTAACCTCCACTTATAAATAATCTCTACTAATTTTAGCCATAATACAACTTTAAAATGACCCCATAACAGTCCAGCAAATTCAGCAACTCAAAACTGATCTTTCATATTACTATACATGTTTCTGACATGTTTCTTTTCTTTCAAATCGATCTAACACAACCAAAAGTATATAATTAAGAATCTTATAATATAAACCAGCTATGCATTCAACTTAAAAATAAGTTCACAACTAGCCAATAGTTACGCAACAACAAACAACATACTACTCTTTCGAAACTCGCAAGTTCTAGTCTTTACGATCGAGATACAACTCGTAGAATCTTAGATAAGAAAAAGAGAAGCATAAACTGACCTTGGGCTGAGTAGAACCTACGAAAAATAGTCCATATTCATCCAAAATTAGTCCCCCAATGCAGTTACAAGGAGAAGAAAGGAAAACTAGCAAGCTGTCCAGACTTTTCGGTACTAGAATCCTTCGTATCACCCGAAATCACCTAGGGTTTGTGTGGGATTTTTGGGGGAGGTATTGCAGGGGTTCAATCTGATATTCTTAGTCTGAGAAATGAGTGAAATAAATGGGTTAATTCATCCTTTAAAAGGCCCCTTGGCCGCTCCTTTTTGGGGATTTATTTGGTCCCTTCATTTGAGCAAGTAGGTGATGTACTTACTTGTGACCTAGAAGTCTCGCCAAAATATAAATATCTCTCTACTCCGATGTCACATTGATGAATTATATAATGCGTTGGAAACTAGACTCGTAGAACTTAAATTTTTTGGGTGGATCACTCCATAACTCTAAGTATATTGAGAGCAAATCTCATCTACATTTGGCCTAAATTTCAGCACATTTCTGAATGTAACCGGTGATGACTTTTGCTAACCTTTCACAACTCGCTTGATATCAAAACATAACACACGACTATCATACCACTAAAATAACTCATAACATAACCTCCTTATCATATTAAGAATCTTAGTCTCATCCCAAAAGTACATGTTATAATATTCACAACTTGTCGACTTTCGGCGAAACTTATTTTCTTCAATTCGTTTAGCTTCTAAGCCTTTCAACCATCTTGGTACATGTTATTCATGATCTTAGATATTTTTAACCTCTATGGTAACATTATTAACTTATTTTTATGTACTTTAAAAGAGGATCTCATTTCCAAGCTTATATCAATTGACTTACGACGTACTTTTACGTACAAAAATATTGGGTGTAACAAAATTGCCTCTAAGAAGGGCACAAATAAAAAGAAACCCTATAGTGGTCTTTAGAAAAATATGCCCCAAAGAAAGGCGTGAATGTAAATGCAAGTCATATTGGCCATATGACTTCAATTGAATTCTATATAACAAGTGTGTTAGGATAATAAATAAAATTTTGTTTGTCTTCTTATTTATGAATAAACACTTTTCAGTGATCGGCTTTGAAACCGATCCTCCATCAATTATGCACCTGAATGGAGATGAGACTTCACCTCCGCTAGCGCCAAATTAGCAAAGAAACATCTTTTTTTGTATAATTTGATGCTAAACTGCGAAAGCACGTAAATTCATTTGAACTTCAAAAAATAAAGAAGATGCAAACTGCACAGAAATATTCATGGATTTGTATTTACATATTTATAAAGAAAAAGGGGGGGAGGGGGGAGGGAAGTACAAGAGAACTTTTAAGGAGAACTACGGGGACCTGAACTATGGCCTAGGGCTTGGAAGCGGAAGTAGAAGGTGTGTTCGGTTCAATATTGGTTGTCGCCGAAGGGCCAGAGGAATTAGGTTTAAGCTCTTCCCTAGTCTAAATTCCTACTTATCCCCTGAGTATCAAGATAAGGAAGACCAAGTAGTCCCGGAAGCTCCCTTTTCTCGGGCTCAAGTTGAGAAATCACAAAGGGAATGTCTAGCTCGCGGATATGTTCCTCGTGAAGGGTGATGAGAAGAGTCTCCACAGCTGCCCAGGCTTGGTCGAAAACCATCATCTTATGTAAGTCCACGAAGGCCTCTTGAACAGACTTCTGATCTTGTTTATTGGCTAAAGACCTCACCTCAATTGCCTCCCATTTAGATCTTAGGCCCCGAAGCTCAGACTCTAACCGAGAGAAATACTCCCTCGGTCGTGCCTCTGTGCTCGTCTTTGAGGCTAGATCTACTTCAAGGGTTAGAATTCTTTTGGAAAACCTGTTCCGCTCAGCTCGGAGGGTAGCCTCGCTGGCTAAGACTTCTTGATCCTCTAATCGTCACTTCTCTCTATTGCTTCCGTTCGCGCTAGGAGGGCCTCCTCAGCTTTGCGCTCCCCGTTCTCTTTTGTGGAGCTTCTCATTTTCAATCTTAAATATCTTATCATTATCACCACATTCTTGGCCATGGACATATCGACTCGAACCTTTTTTAGGTTCCCCGAGGATAGAGCAGTGAGTTGTTTCAAAATATAATAAAGTAATTAAGATATCTCTAACATCCCAAGTATAAAAAGAGGATCGGTATAACTAACCTTAGCAGTCTCATAAGATATCTGATTCATCGGCGCCTCAACACTCATAAACTCTACTTGAGCCCACTGTTGATAGTTTAGTAACTTTGCAAGTTGTGAGGCTATGGGCCTAGGGTTCACGAAGATCCCCCCTCCCCCGCTGGGTAAAGAAAAATTAGTGACCCTCTGATTGCCAGTTTGTGGGCACGTAGAACTCCCGGGGACCCGAGCCTTGGAACCATCCGTCGAAGGGACCCTCTAATCTGCAGGCGGGTTGGTAGGGGTTATCGATCCTCTAAACTTTAGGAAAGCATAGCTGCCATCCCCACTTTAATATGAGTGGGCTCTCCAACAATCAATCCCTCTCATGGGATCAACATCACTACCTCCTCGGGCCTTAAAACCATGAGACAAGAGGCATCCTCATCAAAATTGACCACGATGGGCTCGGATCGAACCGGCCTATCGATAACTTCCTTTTGAGCAACTTGGGACTGACATGGGGAACCTCCACTTCAGCCCTAGCATGTATTATTCCCCTTTGGAAGATTCACCTATTTCAGGTGATAACAGGAAGGGGAGGTACCATGGAAGTGTCGGCACCATCCCCCAGGTACTTAGTTAAGAAGTTCCCAAATTAACCTTGAGGCATCGGCCTCATAGAGGAGGCTAGCTAGGGTATGTAATTGAAAAGGGACTCTCTTATCGAGTCCCACCCCTGCGAGGATTATGTTCATGTCAATAGAAATAATAAGAGATAAAATAAATATTCCATAAGGACATAGTTAAACTCATGATTACCGTAGTACAACGCTCGAATACCACCGAACTTACTAGCAATGGATTTCCAAGTCCTCGAGAAGTTGGTTGAAACTTATAGGATCGCAAATGACCACCCTTCAATGTTGGAAACTCTTTCGAGAGGCACCACGATGGCTGCAAAAACATCAAAAATATAAATAAATCAAGGTATAATACTAAATCATGATGACTTAAATACAATTAAGATTCCACTTTTTTGGGAATTGGATCTTATTGTTTGTGTAAAAAAACTTAGTCCGACCTACCAAGTATCGTTTGAAACACAGACAGTAAAAGTCGTCCCCATAGTCTGATATTAGAGCCTTCGAGCCCCACTGCGACATGTTAATTACACCCCCTCGATAAATCTTGGGGGGTAAAGGTGAAGGAGATGCTGAAAAGTGAGGCTAACGCCAACTTTTTCAGCTAGATGGCGGAGACACATGACCAACCTCCAAATCTAAGGGCCGACGTGCGCCACACATAACCTACACCAAACACAAGAGTTCGTCAACCATGTCATCGATGGAAAGAGGGAACTCCATAGAGAACGCGTACGTGGGGATGAACGAGTATCCAAGGTGATAGCTGGTGAGTCTCTCGCCCTCCCATAGAAGTTCGAGAATAAGGTATTTCCGGTCCTCCCATCCATAGTCCGTCCAAATCCTAGGCAGGACGTCGGTGTTGATAAGAGTGGGATAGATGAAAATATGAGAGTTTCGGTCTCCCGCCGACTTCTCTTTAACGTTGAAGTCGTTATCGTCAATTCTTTAGGCACTATGTTAGAAAATGTTCTTTCCGATTTGGATTCTAAGTCCGGCTTCTTGGTGGTCCTCCTCTTCATCGGTAAAGGAGAAATGCACACCACCTTTCCTTTCTATATTGGCGTTTGTCGGAACTTCCTCATGTGCATCAGAAGGGGAGGAAGATGGTGACCGTTCTAAGAGATGTTGATCCTCGGAATCCATTGGACAAAGATAGAGCTTGATTTTTTGATAAACAAGACCTTTTCAAGAAAAGTGAGGAAGATGACTAAAACTCGAAGAAATTTAAAACTTGAAATCTCGAAAGAGATAAGTAGACAAGCAATGGGACCTACCCTCTCTTTTCATATTTTTCCAAACAGTGTAACCTTTAGAGCCACTTGCAACCGAATTTGATCGTGTGTTGAAAGCATTAAACGGAGGCGACGTCAAATGTAAGGTACTTAAAAGGACGTCTGAAAGGAATGGTGTGCCTTTTCACTTCATCTTTTCCAAGAATCATTGAATGTGATTTGAAAGGAACCGAGTCCAGACACGTGTTGTTCGAGTGTGTCGAGCAGACATAGTGACCCAATGTCTTTAAGGAGTTGACATTATTCTAATACCAACTTTTGCTTCATGGATAAGCTCTCGGGGACGATGATAAGTCCCTTCAAGATTCGGAGAGGCATAGCCGATACAATTCAAATTTATAATTTATTGCAAAAGGAATAAAAAGATGGAAGGAAAGATGTTTTTCATATACTTAACGAGGTTCATAATAAAATGAGGAATGACCTCAAAAAATAAATACAAGAGAAGAAAAGAAGCAAACCGGACAATGCTAACAAAATAATGAATGTACTTAAACTCCTACATACCATATTGGTACCCACTCGGCGAATGAGACTCTTGAGATGAGGGCCTAGTGAAGGAGGGCAGCAAGTTGATGGACTACTCCAAGGTGTCGAAGGACCAGGGCCCAAGCTGGGAGATTCTTCATCGTTGCCTTCCTCAGAGGGGACATCATGTTTTTCATTCCCTATGAGTCCTCCTTCGGGGGAGACCGCATTAAGAATAAGTTTAACTTTTTCCACCGCCTATCTTGTGTTCTCTATTTCTTCCCCCATATCGGGGATCCCTGCACGAGCACCCTCCAATGTAGACAACTTGGACTCAAGAAAAATGACATTCTATGCCAGTTCTGATTGCAACTTCAACCTATCAAGCTCTCGGGCCATGTTATCTCTTTCCCTTTGTAGCCTCGTCACTTCAGCCTATTGAGTGGCGCGTGAATCCTTCCATGACTCAATAGTTTTCTCAATGTACGATGCACGCAACTTTGCCCGAACTAAATCATAAGACGGAGTAGCGTTCATATCGGCCAATTGGTTCTCTTGCACTTCTTTCTCATCCAGAGATGCCTCCAGGTGCTCAAACCTACTATTGTGCATAGTGCTAATCATCTCAATCTCTTTCTTCAGCTCCTTTAACTCATCCTTGACCAAATGGGCTAATAGTTCGTAGTTCTATTTGTCCGAAAGTGCATCAAAAGAGCGAGTTTCCCAGAACTTGCCATGTTGCTTCAACTCTTCTATGGTTCTTTCGTAAAACAAGAACCTTTCTTTGATCCGGATCAAAATTAAATTTTCTTGTGCATAATTAATTTAACCTTACATACAAGTTAAAAAAAGAGGTCAAAAATATAAAAGATCAAAGACATTACCCGAAGGGCGCAATTAAGCACATCATTTGCTAGTGTAGTTCCGGATTGGGCAGATAACTCCTACCTCTCCGAGAGTCCTATCAGTCCTTCCATCCATACTATCCCCTCTCCCGAGCGGTCCAGAAAATTAACCTTCACTGGTACGTTGATCAAAATCGAACAAATATCGAAGCTCGTTGAAGAACTGTTAAAGAGAGGGGGCGTGGAGCAAAAGGATGCAGTAGGTGTGGGAAAACATGTCTTTTGACAAGCTCATCCATGGCAACCCCTTTTCCACGATCCAAGTGGGGGATTTCGCTTCTCGCTAGCTCCAAACCTGGGGACTCTAAACCCTGGTCCTTAACAACTCCTCTCACTGGCTCAGAACTAGGGGACTCCAAGCCCTCATCCTCTAACACAATGTGGTTTGTGTCTCGGGGATGCTCGGTTCGAGGGGAGGCTCGGGGAAAGCCTTGGACACCGTCGGGTCCTATCAAAAAGTTCAACATCGTTCTTTACTGTGGAAGGCTTGCCAGAGTGGAAAATAGTGAGTCTGCACTTCTTTTCAAAGTAGACAATTGCCAGACTCTTTCCCTGGCAGAGTCAGCAGAAGTTGGGAGCTTGATCAGCACTTGTGAAGTCGCCTTCCTCAAAGGAATACCTAGAGACGAAACAAGTAAAACCACATCAGGAAGTAAGATCCTACGAGCCCGACAGTCGAGGAGAAGCTAGTTTAGATACTCACCATGATCCTTGGCTCGCCACCGCAAAACTTCTAACACAAACCTCCAAGATCTCCCCATTATTGGAGAGGTCGCCAAGATTTTTCCAACCCGCTCCTAGATATTCGGGATACTCTCCGAAGCTATCAACGTGGCTACAAAGAAGGGAGAAGGTAAATTTGAATAATGGATTTCAAAAAAAGAGGGGAGGGGAAGGAAACTATAATCTGATCAGAAGGAAGTATCCTTGCATTTGTCATTCCACTTCTCCAAGATAGGCCTATCCTCGGGCAGAATCAACTCATGATTGGGGACTGCGACGAATCAATCGAACCAACCCCTATCATGGTTATCCTATGAGTCCACGAGAGTTTGAGTATCCCGACTAACCATCAAAATAATGCTTTCCGTGAACGGCTTGGAGGCAAAAAGGTGTGAAAGAGAGAACTGGGCGTTAGCCACACTCACAGAAATGAAAGCACGCCATAAATCTCCATGAGTTTGGCCCTACTTGGACCTAGCACAAGCTAAAATAGAAACATAAGTCGAGAATCACGGGGTCTATCGAAGGTTAAAGCCCAAATGTGAATGGGTAACTGTAGACGAAAGAGAAATAAGGCCTAAGGCTGGAAATTCTGTCGTTCGCGTAAAGAAGGTGAAAGGTGATAGTCACCCCAATGATAGTCACGAAGGATTATGGGAATATGTTCTTCACTAACAAGGCAGTCTATGTTATTGACATGAGAACTCCTGAATTATCCCGACATCTTGTTACATGCCTCAACCCCCTCATGATCCAAGATTTTGGGAAGAAACTCTGGGACCGAGGGCTTAGAGCTTTGCTTCCCCTTCCTATCTTTGTGAGGTTTAGAAGCTTTCTTCTCAGAAGTGGCAGCAGATGAAGCTCTCACAGAAATAGCAGAAATAAAAGTATGGATTTTTCTGGTAAGGATAAATAAGCGTCTCTAGCTATAGGTACTGAAGGTTGGTCAGCTGCTAAAGAAGGGTCAAAATCTTGAGAATCCATGAGATTAATGAAAGAGGAGATAAGAAACGAAGGATCAAGGGGAAAGTTAGCGCTTCAAGAAGATAAACAAAAAATAAAACCAGTAGAGGAATTTAAGTTAATGAGGAGGCCCATAGCTGGGTATATATAGGCAAAAAACTTTTCCTTTCATAACCGCCAAAATCATAAAGGATTCCTATCATAGGTGATCATCATTACCTGGGGACTGTAAGAGATGAAGAATTCAATGAGAGGCAGCCACGTATCCTAATACATTAAATATGGACTGAGCATTGGGGGTTACATCAATCTTAATGACAAAATCCTGCTGAAATTTGTTTCTTGCTAGAGAAGGATTCTAAGCAAGACTGACTCCCACCAAAAGATTAACACTTATCGAGCATTCGCTGTCGAATTGCTTGACAAGTGGGGAAGACTATCAGTATTGGTATAATCTATCCTTTTCACGTGACAAAAGGGACCCAAGAATGGATATGGATGGAGAAATCTGTTACCGAGTTCGATAACCTGTTTTGGAACCTCTTACTATTGGAGGAATGGGTATTCGAAGAATGAATGTGCGCACTCGGAGACTCAGTCAGCTGCGCTTGGAGATTGTGGATATCGGGCGTTACACTGATGCGATTACCCTATCGAGGATTTTGCTGCTCACTACCTAATTTTTGGGCATGATAGCCCAAAACTCGGAGTGGAAATGCTCTCCCCCACTGCTATAAAATCCATCCTCCTGCTTCGAGAATGGATCATTGAAAAACAAAGAGAAAAAAATATTCATTAGAAAATTATCAACAATCTTCTTTATTTAACGTTGCCATCAAGCTTTGCTCAACCATTGCGAAGTTCACTCACATTGTAGCCGATACGGCCCATTGAAACTCATCTATAATAAGATTTTTCTTTTATTGCTTTTATTTAATTTCGTTCATTATCAGTTTTCTTACTCGAAATCTGGATCGAACTGAATGGTTAATGCCCTAAAATACAAATTTAATTATTTTTTCCAAAACAAAATCTTGGCTCAAACACCCTTCTCTAAGGCTCTTCTTCTAAAGTCTTTTAAAAATACAAGGTTCAAATTGAAAAGAAAAGTTTATCATCTTATCTAATATAAACCAAATATATGTTTTATGTTATACCCATATATCCCTTTTTAGTCTAATGAATGAAACATCAAGCAATAAAATTACATTCACTAAATAATCTCATTACTATTTAATTCTCATATTATAATTCCATCACTAAAGTTTCAGTATAGCTTGTTCCCTAACCAAACGATCCCCTAGGTTTTTAACCATTATGAGAATACCCCTTGGAAATAAAATTGGAATATGTAACTATTAAATAAATAAAAGAACCTTTTAAATCTAAGATTACATATTATTAAGCGAATTACGGTCTATTTGGTTTGAATCAATTAAACTACCTCGGATTATTTAAGATACTGATTATGATAATTGGTTAAAATTATGTATTGATGAAGATTTATTTAAAGGCAAACTTGATTTGTTATAGGCAAACATAAGATGAAACATGCAAACTAAACAACATTAATAGTTGGACATTCAGAAACTTTTGGATCGGTAGCTGAAAATAAGCCACAATTTCACTAGTAATTGAAATGTAACCACTTTATATTAAGTTTAACAAAAACACCCCTATACTACAAATAAAAACCTATCTTCTTCTTCGTCACTCATGCTCATTATTGAAAGGTGCAAGCATCATGAAGAACGAGTCAGCAAGCTATTAATATGGATTACAACATCATACGCAAAAGTAAAAGCTAATTATTATAGTAAGACCTTCAGCAAGATATACATGACACTAAATAAACAAAATCGCATGTGGGTTCAAAGTCTAGGACAATATCCTGGAGTTTACACT